TTAGAGGTAAGTAGGACGCTAGTCATGAATGCGCAGAGGTCGGGCGCGTTTGTGTATAGAGGGGGTGAGAGTGAGCTGGAAGGACATTCAAAAGTGTGGATAATAAGAAATAGTAAGCTGTAGTGGAAGTGTACATGCAGTAGGTTGTGGGCGCAATCTCTGGAAGAGCCCTCTCAGATAAAGAATTTAATTCCGTGGTCAAAGTGTCATGTCCAGAGTTCATAATAAGTGTCACCCTCTTTTATTCTATTTCAAATTTTCATTTTCATTTTTCTAGCGTGCAATAGCTTGGGCCCTTACAGAAATGCCGTACCAGCATTGGCCATCGCAGATAGAGAAGATCATGCAGATCTATCATACTCTACTAGTAAGGCACGGTATAATGCTAGTAGGTCCTGCTGGCGGTGGCAAAACAGCAGCCCGACAAATCCTTCGCAAGGCCCTTGTCTATCTACCGACCGTTCAAAATCGCGACCATCACGAGAAGCCTGGGGAAGACTTTGATGACTCTACTTCTGGCAAGAGCGCAGCGTCACATGCGGTAATAAGATATATTCAATAGGCCATGTCTTGGTTTAATGATTGGTTTTGGTCACCCTGTGTTTAGATATGAACCTGCAATAATATGGGAAAATGTCAAGTTTTTCGATAAGGATTTCTTTGGAGGAAAACTAGGTTTCCAATTCTCAGGAGATTGAAATTCTTTTGTATTTCCCATTCAAATTGAGCTGCTTTGACGTCACATGCAAGGGGTCTTTAGCCTGCTCTTTACAGAAACAAGTGGGGATTGGGTACTTATTTGTCGCGCAAGGACTGGGAATCTCCCCTTGGGGTAGATAGTAATCCCATCACCAGTTGTTGTAGTGCCATATAAACAGGCATTTATGGTTCAATGGGCAGATCAGTACCCAGTTCCCCATTCGTTTCTGCCTAGGACAATCACCTGAAATGAATTTCTATCTATGTCACTATGGGTGCTACATATACACGCAGTAAGTGTTTTGTATTTTGTATCTCCTAATAGCGCAACAAGCTACGTAAAGGAAGAATAGAAGTGTCTTCTATCAACCCAAAGTGCCTGACATTAGGTGAGCTGTACGGAGAGTTCGACCCCACCACGTCAGAATGGACTGACGGCTTRCTATCTCACTTCTACCGCCGTTTCGCCAAGGATAGCAGAGGGATGACAAATAGAAAGAGGAGTAAAGAAGYCAAGGGAACCGCACGAACACCGACGCCTTCATCTGGAAGACCGCATTCAGGGAAATCGTTCACTACTATGTCTGAAGAACAAAGTGAAGGTACATCCTAACCTCTCTAATCCGACAAGATTAACCAATTAACCAATGCGAAACTCGGCCAAATCTTTCACTACTATGTCTGAAGAACGAAGTGAAGGTACATTCTAACCTCTCTAATCCGACCAAATATGAACTCTGATATACAAGGAGCGTCGTTACTCCTTCAATAGACCGTTATACATTATTCGTAATGTTTTCCCATTCCAGACCACGRGTCATTCCCTAGAGTATCATTTCTTTGTTTAACTACCGAGCACGAGATGATACATTAATAAAGAAACATCTCCAGCAATGCCATTCAAAGGAATGACCAGGGAATACTCAATACTCATGCGAATACCCCAAGGAATGACACATGGTCTGAAATGAAACAACATTACGTCCAAGCTAAAAGTGGCTATTACTGATGACGCATTTATGTCCTATAGTTGAGACCCAGTCGTACGCGGACGAATCTCATATGACGTCAATCGAGGAAGGTCAGGGTAAAGATGATCTTCGTTTCTGGCACTGGATAGTAATGGATGGTCCTGTTGATACCCTATGGGCAGAAAACCTCAATACCGTACTCGATGATACTAAGGTATGCATATAAGCGCCTTGAGCATAGGATAAGTGCACTATAGAAATAAAGTTTATTATTTATTATTTATTATAAATATATTATTTGTTTGGTTCAAAAGGTTAAACCATTAAAACGAAGATCGAGGGGTATTCTGGGTAATCGATATTCTGACCATTCGAAAAATGTATGCATACAGACACATACATGAAGAGTGACAAAACGCTCCGTTCGGTAACTTGAATCAATGTTTGATACCTGTAAAACAATATCGATATGCTTAACTTTAGCCTCATTAACTGTTTACCCAGAAYCTCCACAGGTCTTAGCTTTTTTTAAATTTGGTGTATAACCTATAGGGTCATTTCTTACTGACCTATATAGGCTTATTGTGACTATCGTTGTTACAGGTACTATGCTTAGCTAATGGAGAGCGCATCAGTATGGGGATTGGAATGAGAATGATATTTGAGGTGGATAACCTGGTTATGGCATCACCAGCTACTGTCAGCAGATGTGGCATGGTGTATATGGTAGGTATTAGATAGAAGATGGTGTATATGGTAGGTATTAGATAGTAGATGGTGTATATGGTAGGTATTAGATAGTAGATGGTGTATATGGTA